GGCCCTCAGGCTTGGTTTAAATTGGTTTTGGTCAAACTTTGTTCTAAGTGGTATAGAACTGGTCTGTGCATTGCTGTACAGAGGAAACTGTTTGCTGTCTTGCTAAACACTGTGACATTGCTGTGTCAAATGTGATAATGGTTACCCATGGTAGACAGTGTTTGGTAGAGCTCCCAATTAAAACAAGCTTGGAAGTTGGAATGGCATCCACTTCCAAAATGACTTGCCTCCAGAAAGTATAAACATTTCTCAGCTGATTGGTTCATACGGTTGCTATTAATTTTCTATGACTTGACAGCACTTAACAACAGCAAAATTGTTTTATTCCATTTAGGTTCAAAATCTAAATGAAGTTCCTCCCAAGGCCTGTTTCTTGGACCGATGGAAATAAAAGGTGTCTTAAATTCTTTATTGCTTTGCACTTTCTAATTCAGTTCACTTATATCTCATTATAAAACAAACAACTGTGACAATAAAGGTTGGAAAATGAATAAAGATAACAGAAGATAATCAATGTCTTTGAGTTGAAAAAAGTGTACTGAATATCTCATGTATTGCTAAAAGAAAAAACAAGTATATCTCAGAGAAAGTGCACCGAGAATGCTCCTTACAGGCAAGGAAGGTGATGCCCAATCTCACATGTTTTGGACGTCTTGTTGGAAAAGGACATCATGCTGGCAAAGGTGGATGATGGAGGAAGATCCGAGATAGGATGGATTGATACAGTGACTGTAACAATAGACTCCAGTACATCAGAGATGATGAGGAAAGGACAGGATAGGGCAAAGCTCAGGTCCATTGGTCAAAGAGTTACTTTGAGCCATAATTATCTCATTGGTAATTAACAACAACAATAGAGATAAAAGAGGATGAAGAGCCATAAAGGAGGAAACTTTCAGTACCACTGAGAATATATAACATAATAACCAAGAATACAGGACATCTTTTTTGAACTTAGCCCCTCTTCAATGAAGTTCCTTGACATCAGAGAGGTCCAAGATACATACATCTCCTCAAAGAATAGTGTGACTATTGATGATGAAGGAAGCAAGCACTTTCTCCACAACCAACAAAGAGAGATCAGACCATCATCATCCTGAATTTGGACTTCTAACTACTTAAACTGTGAGAAGCGAGCTCTGGTGGCTTAGTCATAGGGAGTTGTACTTCTAGCACAAAGCCTGTGCCTTTCTGTGGATTGGATCTACCAGAAAACCCTTGGGAGAAAGATTGGCCCTCTCTTCTCCTTCTATCTGTACTCTCAGAAACCCAAAGGAGAATCAGCTATGAGTCAGTACTGACTTGATGTTAATGAGAGAGAGAAGTTTCTGTTTATTAAAACCATCCACTTGTATCTATACTATAGAAGCACTAGTTAACTAATACTAGCAAAGATAAGACACTTGACAAGACGGATTGAAACAGTAATTAAAAAATGGGCTTGAGTATGGCAGAGGTTGTGAGGATCTTGCAGGTTAGGGCAAAGTTTCAATCTGTTGTTCTTAGAGTCTGTGAGTCCCCTTAAAGTTATTAACATGAAGGTAACTAAAATAACCCAGAACCATTCTGATTTGCCTTATTTTGTAATAAACTATTTCACAACTGGTTTACTTACAAATTTCATATAAATGTTTTTCACACCAGATCTCTCCCATTTCCTTTATGCACCCCTCCCTCTACCCATCTAAGTGTGTGAGCCTATAATTACCCCCTTGCCAAGCCTCACCCCCATGCTCCTGCCGTACCCCCTCGGATGCTCATACATGTTTTACGAGTTATCCTTCTGTTTCTGAAAGCAGGGTGTTATATACTATTTCTCCTTGTGTGACCGAGTTAGTTCACTTACTGTTTTGCCTTTTTTCTGTTGCCACCAACTCTCCACAGCTGCTTCTTGTTGTTTTTCAACATCTCTCTGGCGATATAGCTGTCTTTTGGGTCAAAGATGAGCTCGCTGCAGGGATCTGGGGCCCATAGAATGTGCACTTCTTTCTTGATGACAGTGACTATCCTCTCCTCCACTTACTTCTAGTATTCGTTTCAGTCATAGTGGGATGACAAAATGGACAAGTTCCCATATTAGTGTTGATACACTAACATGCCCCAAATATGTGAGACTAAGTTTTATCATCTTTGCCTTCTAGGGACAATTTGGCTGCATCTTCTCTAGACATATTCTTTTGTCAGTCAATGATATATTCACTACTCTTCCTTAACACCACACTTCTAAGTGTGAGGGGCTATTCCGTGAAAAGAGACCTCATGCTTGGAAAGGTGGAGAGTCAGTGAAGGAGAGGGAAGATTTTCAAAGAGATAGACTGACAAAGTGACTGCATCTATGGGTGCAGGAATGATGCATTCTTTGGGATTGTGCACTGGTGTTTAGAACATCTTCTCCCATA